GTTACTATTAAGTTGCTCTAAAAACATTTGTTAATTAATAAGTTTAATTTCAGGTTTACGTATTTTTTGAATCCATAAAGGAAAACATTCCCTCTGTAGACGGATAAAAGGCGACCAGACGCTGCTCCCCCCCTCCGCACTCACCGGTGCTGCTGCTGGCTGGCCGGACGCTGGCCCTGCGGTTCTTCCGGTCCCACTCGGGCCTCAGGGCCTCGATCTCGTCCACGGAGGACGCTCGCCTCATGCTGTGGAAGCTTTCCCTCGAGCGGCTGCGAGTCAGGGTGCAGTTGGAGCACGAGGCGTCCGGGTTGAGGCTGAGGTGGTGGCGCGGCACCACGCAGGGGGTCGACTGGTTGAGGGGCCCCACCAGGTGGGGGGGTATTCGAGGGATGGGAGTCTCTGAGCAGATGAGCGTTCGCTGGTCCTCCTGATGATCCTCTGGCCAGTTCTGAAGAGCCGACCTACGACAGAAGAACAGAGAGATGAAGGAACATCCCTGATTGAAGCTCTGATCTGTGGTCAGCCTCTCTATGGCATCCACCTGCTTCCACTCAGCTGCTCCTGGTGTTGTGGCGCTAAAGGCGGCAGCGGCAGGAACTCGCTCAGACCCAAGGACTCCGGACTGAGGTCCGGATGCAGCGGCATCGCCGTGGGGATGTGAGCGGCCTCTGCGTCCTCCAGCGACGCTTTACTGTTGGACAGCGAGCGGAGATGAGGGAGACGCAGCTTGAAACCTCGAGGACGACCTTAGAGAGAGACGGGAAAACAGAGATTGAGTGGATTAAAACCAGAGGTGGATCAGATGTGGGACAGAAACATTGATGGGATTGAGCTTTCAGCCCTGAACATAATCTGAAAGAAAGATTATTTTAAATAAATAAATATCTGCTGAATGCGAGGTGAGCTCATGTGAATGCTCTTTTATCACAACGCCTTCAACATCAATGCTTAGAAAAAGACACCTGGTGCTGAAAAATTAACATTCTATGTTCCCTATAGCTACCTGTAACAAGCCAGGTGGGCAGGCGGTGATTCAGCTCCCGTTTATGGTCCTTCAGCACTTCTTCAGTCATGACCTCGAAGTTCAGGATGAACATGATCACCAGGCCATCCTCGTTCTTCACCGGCACCACGTCCACCATGCACAGGAAGCACTGGCCTGCACAGACGCATGTAGAAACAGACTCATTAAAGTCTGCAGACGTTATGTTTCAGCCACTGCCACTAAAAACAGAGATAGTTTCAGCAGGAACCATAAATCTAAAATCCTTTCATGACAAAAATAAAAATAAAACGTGTTTTCCATGCTCAGCATAACCATTAAAAAACTAAAAAATGAGACCTGCTTACAATTAAAAGTGAGACAAACAGCAAAGTAAGCATGAAAGTGAAGGAACAAGAGGCTGAGCTCGACACAAACACAAGAGGAGCTTAATTGGTCCAAATAGGGTTCTATTCCGGTCTCAGAACCTCCAAGGCTTCAGAACGCACAGAAATAGACCAACCCAACTCTAACCCTCCTCCAGCGAAGGATTACAACCTGGGGAGACTCCAGAAAAGTCTCATCTGGATGCGTTTGAAGCAAACAGGTCCAGTTCTGGTCAGACATCCCATCAGAACCGTCATCCTCTGCCTGGTTTCCTCTGATCTGAATCAAACGAGTCGCTGTGGTTCTATTCAGTCCCGTGAGCTGCACACGCCCCCCCACCGACCTGCCTGCCATTCATCTCCCATCATGGCTGCAGAGTGGGCCCAAAGCCGATTGGATGGCAGCTGTAATCCAACACAGCGGGTGGAGAAAATATGAAATGCGGAGAAAACTAGAGGATTAAAGCATCTGTTGTGGTCCAGCAGCACCGCTGCCTGCAGCCATCATCTGGAGGCCGTCATCCATTCATCCCCCCATCTTCATTCACATCTCAGCTCTGGTTTAATCATCTGGCTTTGATTCTTCATTTAGCTTCAACTTTATGGTTCAAAATCAAAACTTTTCAAGCTTTAACTTCATTCAAAAGGGTTTGGTTTATTCCAGTGTTTTCTTTCCAACACAACAAAAAGGAAGCAGAAAATACTTCAGCTCAGTGAACTTCGACACTAATTTGAGCAGAGATATAATATATCTGCCCTGAAACGGAGATAATTAGATATGGAGCTGATTTTTTTTATTTAATTTAAACATATATATCTTTTTTAAATGGTTAATTGTTTTCCTTATGGGCTCAAATTACTGTAGGGGAAATTACACCCATTTCAAGAAAGTTTTTAAACAAAATTTTCAAAGTTTAAGTGCGTTAATCAAAGATTCCATTTTAAGGACAAAGATACTTATTTTATTGGTAGATCATCTTATTTTTTTATGATCAAATTAAGGTAAAATACGACGACTTTCTGAACTTTTTGATTAATTAAAGATCAATTTTTGCAGTATTAATAAACATTTTGCACCATTTATCTCAAGTTCCTGGAATTTTTTTTAATCTATTTTTATTTAAACAAGTCTATTTTCCTTTTTGTTGAGCAGGTAAGTTAGACTTTTTCAATGAATTTAGAGGATTTCTGTTTAAAATAATAATAATATTACCTTTATTCAAATTTAAATATCTAATGATCACATTTTAAGGCTATAAAATCCTCTCAACGACTTTTGGACCTAAACATCATGGCACTCTCTGTGTGACAATATTTTTATAACATTTATTAAAACTGAACCTCTAATCGGATTTTACTGCATTGATTTTACACCTAACATAAAAATATATCTAAAATAAATGCTTTAGTAACAGTTTATTCTATTGGTAGCTCATCTAATATAACTGTGCTAATTTAAGGTAAACACTAAATTTAAGACATTTTTTACTTTTAAGTATCAATTTCTGTGGTATGAAAACATTTTAAACCGACTGATTCAATTTTGCAACAAAAACTGAAATCTAAGTGTGTTTTATTTAGTACTGAGCAGAAAAGGAACGTTTTGCAATGGAATATGATTATTTACATTTAAAATAAGAAAAAAACCCTCCATTATCTCACTTTAGGTGCTAATATCTAATTATTGTTTTCCCTTATTACTTAAGGGAAAACAATCCATTAGTAAATGTTCTTATTCACCTGCTTAAATTCAGGACAAACACTGATTTAGAAATATTTTTACAATTTTTTAGATCAGCTTTTGCAGGGCTATTGTCACAGTCTTGGTTTGTTAGTTCCTGTTTTCTTGGTTTTCCATTTGTTGTCCTCTGCTGCCC